CGTTGGCCGCAGTCGCGTCTTTTGGTAGTGGTGTTTCAACGTTGTCGCGTTCGTTGCGAGTTTGGTTGTCACCAGCCATCGTTTCTTCGTTGGACATGTTGCAGCTACGGTGTAAGATAGATCCGACCCCCCCTCCTTCTAGCGCCAAACTGTGGGTGTCGAAATCCACTCACTGTCAAATAAATCGTAAAAAAGGAAACTTCGGGAAAACCCTAAGTTTCCAGAGGAACCGACTATCTGCAGAGCCGCACAACGAAAAATAAGAAAACGATAACTTAGAATTTGAATGAAAATAAACGAAATAGAGAGCAAAGAGGTTCTTATTCCGAATCTGCGTAGAATTGGTACAAAAGAGTAGCCGAAAAGCTTAAGAACGAAAACCCTAATTGAGACGCAGCTCGCTAACAGAAAAACGGAAATATTCCTAAATGCNTCCTCGCCTTGGCTATCCGATCTTTCCATTTCGCCCAGATTTGACTAAATCGGGAATTTTCCATTCTTCTCGATCCTTCCTTTTCTTCCGCGGAAATCTTCTATTTCTCTTCAAACCTTCCTTTTATCTTTAAACTTGACTTTTATTTTCCTTCTGCGAGTAAACCGTCAAAACGTTATCAAATCTGCGGGTTAGATTCTGTTGAAATCGCGAGATGGGTTTTTATCGCGTTTTAGGTCCTTCCGGGCCGTTTTGCGATAAATCCTTTTTCCGACTTTTTACGGGATCGTTTCCTGATCTGACGTCGTTTTTAATAAATTACTCGAGTTAATCGCAAGGTTTTACAATTTACTCGACTTTTTATTAAAAACACGTTTTTTACGACTTACTGGCGTTTTTTATTAAAAACGCGTTTTTATGAGTTCAACGAGAAATCTCGAATAAATCGTATAGTTTAGGCAATGTTCGGTGTTTCGTTTAACCGTTGCCATTTTATACGATTTCCTCGAGTTCTTTCCGAGAAAGCAAAGTTTTACGGTTTTTATCGTAAAACTCGAACGGTAAGTCGGATCGAGATGGAACGGGAGATGTTTCGGCCGTAGTTTAGAACGTGACCTTGTCGAAAGACGTAAGTTTCGAATCGGGAATGCGGGAGATCGAGACGCGGAATATACGGGACGTCTCTAGTTCGCCCACCGGCGAACTAAGCCGGGCCGGCTTAGTTCGCCGATGGGCGAACTAGTCGAGCATGTCCTAGTTCGCCCATCGGCGAACTAAGCTGGGCCGGCTTAGTTCGCCGATGGGCGAACTAATTGATCACTTCCTAGTTCGCGTTTTACGGCTATTTCGGTTTTTTGCGGTTTCGTAAAACGATTCTCGAGTTTTATAAAAACGATCTTCAGATTTCATAAAACGATCTTCGAGTTTTATAAAACGATTCTCGAGTTTTATAAAACGATTTCTCGAGTTTTATAAAACGATCTTTGAGTTTTATAAAACGATCTTCGAGTTTTATAAAACGATTCTCGAGTTTTATAAAACGATTTCTCGAGTTTTATAAAACGATCTTCGAGTTTTATAAAACGATCTTTGAGTTTTATAAAACGATTCTCGAGTTTTATAAAACGATCCTCGAGTTTTATAAAACGATCTTCGAGTTTTATAAAACGATTCTCGAGTTTTATAAAACGATTTCTCGAGTTTTATAAAATGATCTTCGAGTTTTATAAAACGATCTTCGAGTTTTATAAAACGATTCTCGAGTTTTATAAAACGATCCTCGAGTTTTATAAAACGATCTTTGAGTTTTATAAAACGATTCTCGAGTTTTGTAAAACGATTTCTCGAGTTTTATAAAACGATCTTCGAATTTTATAAAACGATCTTCGAGTTTTATAAAACGATTCTCGAGTTTTATAAAACGATTTCTCGAGTTTTATAAAACGATTTCTCGAGTTTTATAAAACGACCTTCGAGTTTTATAAAACGATCTTCGAGTTTTATAAAACGATCTTCGAGTTTTATAAAACGATTCTCGAGTTTTATAAAACGATTTCTCGAGTTTTATAAAATGATTTCTCGAGTTTTATAAAACGATCTTCGAGTTTTATAAAACGATATTCGAGTTTTATAAAACGATCTTTCGAGTTTTATAAAACGGTCTGCGAGTTTTATAAACGACTTTGAGTTTTATAAAACTATTCCTCGGGTTTTTTAAAACTGTTCTTTTTGTATTTTCGCGGGGAGTTTTGGCTATTAATTCCGTCGTACCGATTTTGACCCCAACATTTTACCCCTTTCTCGTGCAGGTATCAGGTGAAAAGGAAGAGATCAGATGACGTAGGTAAATTGGAGTGTGGCTAATATTTACCACAAACTGTTCAAATCAGAGAGAATTTAATAAAACCACGTTACACGCCGACTAACCTCATACGGTGTACTGTTTTGAGTAAATACGTGGAGAACAATAAAACACTCAAGCAATAAATAGTATAATCCTTTTATTTATTATAAACCCTTCCCACATATAAATAGAGTTTCCAAAATCTTAAACTTTCATCTTTCATACTATATTATGTCGTATTATACTACATGTACAATATAGTATAAACTAATTAAATTAAATAACAAAGAAAACTCTTGTAATTCCACAATTTATGGGAATATGGGAGAGAAAGATAGTCGCATAAACAACAAAATATACACCATAGACTGATTGCGCCTCAAACGAATTAGACTAGGCAAGCACTTGAAAATCATTAAGTGTTCTATTCCATATTGACAAAGTAGTATAGTACTCCAACTCCTAGATAGTATAGGATTCTAACTCCATCCACAACCTCTAAAATACTAAACCTAATCCTAATTTTTCAATACTAAACCCTAAATTATAATCACTAAACTCAAATCCAATTATAGTTTATAATATATATATTTATAATTTTTAACCCCGCCCACAACTCCTTAATACTCAATCCCTCCCCATGTTTTGAATACTAAAACCTAAATTGTAATCAGTAAACCCAAATCCAAATGTAAGCTATAATATATATTTATAATTTCTAAATAAAATTAAAATCTCAAAATTATATATAATATTTTGTAATATCAAACTATGTTATATACTCATTTGAAACAAATAGAATAGAATAGAACCCCATCCATATCCACCCTAATCCCTAAATACTAAACCCTAAACTCTACTTAGTAAACCCAAAACCCAAATACTAAACGTTAAACCCTAATCACTAAACCTTAAACTCAAATATAAACCCTAAACTTACATATTAAAATATAAAAATAGTACATAATATTATGTATTATACAATATAGATCATTCACGGTAATAATCTACTTTTAAATTTAAAATATAATCATTATAAATAAAATTATAGAAATTTGTGTGAAGTTTACATTTGTATGGGTGTGGTTAACTAAATATGTGACATGAATTTTTAATCATATTTTTATTCTACATTCATCAAATAGAATAGAATAAAACATGTAGTATAGTACAAATTACTGAAATGGTGCAGAAATATTATACTACATATGTCTAAAATTAACAAATAGTACATTGCCTAAAATTATAGTAGAAGAGGTCGACAACAACCACCAACATTTGGTTCTTTCTAACGACTCAATGGTTTAAATCCGAGTTCATGTAAGTGCACCACTCCGTCCTGAAAAATTGACCTGAAAAATAAGAAAACAATGAGATAGTTAGACATCCTCACACGTATAGTTCATAAGAGCCGAAATAACCATAGATGGTAGCATTGGGGCTTATGCAAATCTGAGAGAGAAAATATTCACCTTCTCCGAAATTATCAACCAAAATAGGGAAATGAAGTTTAACGTAGAACGAACAATATAAGAGATGGTAGAGTAGATGATAGAGACCATACTTGATTGAAATTAGCAACAACTACACAATCTAGGTGCTGAAAATAGTTTATCCTAGTGAATATTTATCAGGCTATGTACATTACACCAAATGAACATGCATTTAAATCCATTTTATGTGAAACAGTAAAGTAACAAAAGTTTTATGACAAACATGACATTAATGCAAGCTATATTATCATGTTTATACTAGCTTGTATTACTATTTGTACTAACTTTACCATTTGTAGATAATATAGTAATGCAAATAGTATAGTAATACAAATTAACATCTGCAGTATAATAACAAAAGTACTATGTGTACTATATCAAATAACATAGAAAATGACATACTATTCTGCATTGTATTTTCAAAAGACCATACTAACACTTAACAGACCCTCCCATTCTGTTTTAATCGGACGTACAAGCTAAGGAATTGTGAGATTTCTCAAAACAATTTAAATAGCAAAAGCGTTATTTGTATCATATGAAAAAAACATAGAAATCAACATACTATTCTACATATATTTCAAAAAAAGTACTATGTCCTCAAGTTATAGTATTATATTTACCCCGACTGTAATTCCTTCCCGTGAAACCTAAAAACCATAAACACGTAATAGACCCTCCGATTGCGTTTTAATCGGACATGCAAGTGAAGGAACTGTGAGATTTCTCAACTCAAATTAAATAGTTCACACGAGAACACCAAATAACTAATGAGTCAAACGAATCTTACAGTAGGAGAAAAAGCATATTACTTGTGTCATCTTCTCACAACTGACGTCGTCCCGTTTAATAGGTTCTATACTATGCCGATTTTAGATTCAAAGAGAGGTAAGCGACGTTACGGGCAGATTGTTCGAAGCAGTGGTGTCTTCGTCACAGCAACGCCAAGAATGAAGACGATTTGATTGCGGCGGTTCAAATCTGGAAAAGATATTATTCACTTTCTCAAAAGTTACAAAGATAAAATAAATATGAGTTGTTGTGTGACTTTAGAGGGGCCATGATTTACTTTTCATAATTAATATTATTAATTAAAAAATAAAAATTTTGCAGGTTTATCCGGTTGAGTGTAAGGGTAATATGGCAATATTATGTATAAGAGAGATGATGTATAGACCATATAGGGCTTTTGATCAGTCATTGAATTATAATTTTATTGATAGCTATACAATGCAATTCCCCTTGATTTATCAGATTTGAGAGTACCAGAGGAGTTGCCTCGTGTCATAACTGTATTGGAAAAAAAAAGTAGGCTCTTTTGTTTCTCTATCTCGCTCTCTGTCGCTCCCCACCAAGATCGCATGCGAGTCTTGATCGAAAGGTAAATCTTTGTTGTTTTATTTTTGTGTTTGAATTCTTGAATTCTGGTCTTACATCTCTCTCTCTGCGACATTTGCTTCTCCGATTGGATTTGAATTTTTTTTTTTTGCAGGATTGATGAGAAATCGAGTTCTGGAGATTCATCGGATCGAGAAAGCTGGGATAAATTTTTTTAGGGTTTCACGCTCTCAACGTCTGTTCCCTCTCTGCTCGTTTCTCTTCCGGCGGCTTGAGCTCCATGTCGCTGTCCTTCTCTTCCGTGCCTGCTCAAGGTACAAAGCTCTGTGTTCCGTACAAGGTACTCTCTCATGACTCTCTTTCTCTCTCTCGCTCTGTCTCTGCTCTGTGTGTATCTATGTTTGTCTCTCTGATTATTGTTTGTGTCTGATGATTGTGTGATAATGGTGTTTGGTCTGATGCTTTAGAGAAAATTTTGTGCCTTTGTGATACTGTTATTGGATCTCAGGTTTTACATTTGTTGTGTGTAAATTATGAGCAAAAATATTAGCAGTTGTTATGTGCAAGTTTGCTGTTTGTTCTGTGGAAGATATGAGCAGTAATGTTGTGGAATGATTAGCCTACAGAGTCAGTTTTACATCCATCTGTTAATTGGTTCCGAACCAACTATTTTAGTAAAAAGGCTCCAACTTTATACTATGAATCCAGTAGTGATCCCTTATAGATTTGTATTGTATTGGCTTGGTTCTGGAACCCTTTTGATAAATCATATTCTCTTAGATAGAAACTGTTTATGAACACAAGGTTTCATGCTTTTAGCTTATCTTTTTATTTTCTTAATGTGCTGATAGTAAATAAACCTAGGTCCTCGTCTTCTTACAGTCGCTGACTTAGAGTCCAATTGAATCTCTTGGCTTTGTTTTGAGAGACCTCGGAGATGATGGTTAAGGGAAATGATCAAGCCATCTTTGTTATATGACTGATATCACACTTGGTGGAAATCATCTGAAGTTTTTTAAGACCCCTTATTGCATGTATGTTGAGGTATACACGGACACAATTTAGAATCTCTCTACATATTGTCTTCTTGAGTTATGTCCTTTTTGTCTTGATGTTTTCTCTTCTGTTCAGACTAGTTCCTATCTGCAAAGGTGGGCGTTTTACCGAAGTTCTGACTAGTTCCTATCGAACGGGTGTGTCTATGTGATGGATCTGATAGATGTGAGTTCTGAGATTCAAGAAATGCTTGGTAGGAGCTACAATGTTCCTGTCTTGACGAAGATGATCTCATGGGAGGTAAAGCTTGTTGTTGTTGCGTGACTAAACTTAGGATTATAATCACGTTGTGCATAACATTTTCAACTATCCTTTTAGCTCTGTAATGGATTTTTTATTTACAATGTGTAATTTTTTTTTAAAGAATCCTTAATTAAGAGACTTGCAATATCATACTCTATTAAAAGGGCTAAATAAAGCCTCCTTAGAATGTCCACATGAGCATAAATATTCTACCAATAAGAAAGTTTGAATCATCCACGTCAGATTGGTTTGTCTGATTAGGTTATCACATTAAAATCGAGGTTTGATTTTGGTCTGGAATTTTATTCTGCTTTTTGGTTTATTTCTGGTTTGGTTTATTTCCAATTCTACTCTATATACATAAAATTATATATTGAAATTGTTTTTTCAAAAAGCACGGGTGCTTTTTTGTGATATAGTTATATGTTTTTACACCCATAATATACTATATACATAAATTATAATACAAATTTTGACTAATTATTAATATATATATATATATATATAAATGAAACCAGTTTACTTTCTATATTGACTGATATAAATATTCATTTGTGACCTCTAAATTTACTCAGTAAAGATAATGTCATACAAACCACTATGAGTTTGTACGTTTTTTACAAAAAAACTAAACATTACATTATATTTGTGTATTATAATTTCTCTTACTATTCATTATTGTTTTAAAAAAATTAACATGTAAAATTTAGGATTAAAATTTGAAAGTTATTATAATCACAGAGTATAAAATACATATTAACCACCTTTGCAAAGCATATTGCGATTTGATTTATTAGATAGACATTATCTATCTTATTAAAGTTGTAGTACTCTTTAGGTTTGTTTGGAAACTTAAATAGTAGTAATAAAGAGTTTAATGTTGTTTGGCTATAAGTTTAATAGAGTTGGGCTTTTAAACATTGTTATAACAGAATTGGGTTTTTGTTTAATTTATTTTATGTTATGGTTGGCTTTAATCATTTGGCCCATTGTAGTAATTTGTGTTTTTAGTTTATATTTTATATAAAGATCATATTCAATTTTATTTATTGTTGACTAAATTAAAAATAACATCAGTTTTTAAGATAATAACAATTTACATTTCAAATAATTTAATTCTCAAATATATTTTATCTAAAGTATTTTACATTATTCAAATTATCATAAAGATACAAAATATTTGAATAGTTTTAACTAAAATATTAAAATTTGTTTTCGTAACTGGATATTTATCCGAAACACCTATCCCCTCCCCCCAAAATCAGTTTTACCCCGATTAATCTAAAATTAATCCTAGAAATCGTAACCAAACCGTTATCATATTGGAACCAAAAATTTATCTGATATTAGTCGGTTATTATAATTATTACCAAAAGAATCGAACCGGACGCAAATCAATTTATATAGATAACAGAACAGATCTTATATCTGTAGAATTAAAAAAACTACGAACATAAAGAATCCAACAAAAGTTGAACCCAAAATCAAACCCCAGTCCTATTACATTCAATACGATCATAGTTTTGAAATACGGTAATAACCGATGACTTATGAATATATTATACTTTTCCAAATTAAGTTAAACCCGCGCCGGTGCGCGGGTCAAAATCTAGTATTTATTATGATATTGTACCAAAACCAACAAATTAATATTCAAATACCATTTTGAGATTATGGGATCTGTGACATCGGTATCTCTATTTTGGATACTACACAAATATCTTTGACCATGTGATGATGATGTTAAACTACTGTAATTTCTGATTGTATGTATCAAACAGTGTTAGTCCTAACCTCAAACAATGTTTTTTTTTTTTTTTGTGATTTTTGGATTTTGGTTTTATTCTGACATAAACAATGGATACAGGAACGGCAAGATAACTGGCGTCACAACGCTTTACCTGCACAAAGAGTGTTTGTAGATGTTGCAAAGGCTATCTCAAAGTTCGAACTTGTTACAGTCTGTGCAAGCCCCACTCAGGTAAGTTTACAATCATACTGCACATATATTTCGAGTTTATAAGAGAAAAATATAACTAAATTAGTTTTGCTTCCATTATGGACGTTTAGTGGGAAAATGCAAGGAAACAGCTTCCAGAGGATATCAAAGTTGTTGAGATGAGCATGAATGATTCTTGGTTCCGTGACTCTGGACCTACTGTGAGTTCTTTATCTTCTCCCCTTTCCTCCCATCTTACTACGATCTGTTCTGAACTGCCTTTGCTTCTCCCTCTCTATTTTTACAGTTTGTTGTAAGGAAAGGACCATTAAAGCTTAGTTCTATTAACCGAAACATCGCTGGAATCGACTGGAACTTCAATGCTTGGGGAGGTAAGGCTTTATCACTTCCCAAACTCTCACTAGCATGTTTTCAACTATTAATTTAATATTTTCTTCCCCCCATATCAATCTGATTCTCTCTGTTGAGCGGATTACAAGGTTTCAACACGCTATGATTCTTGAAGGAGGCAGCATCCATGTCGATGGAGAAGGCTCGTATATACAAGTCATAACATCAACCTTCAAAAACTAAAAATTAACTAGGAAGAAAAAAGACAGAACACCTGAGTTTATGTTTTACTTTGTTTTTGCTCTTTTTAGGAACCTGCCTTGCCACAGAAGAGTGTCTCTTCAACAAAAACCAAAACCCTCACATGAGTAAAGAACAAATAGAGGAAGAACTCAAGAGTGTTTGAACCGAGTTCGGTCGTGTATCAGTGAAGTGAGTGATTGGACTCGTCGGTGGGTTATTGCGAAGGTGTAAGTGAGAACGAGCAAAGAAAGAGGTCTTATTTATAATCGGGGATGAGTACAAAGAGTTCCCGGCGCTCGGAGAGCTCGGCCGGGAAAGTATGTATGAACTTGACAACGAAATAAGCAAGGTGTGAAACCCTAATCTAAGTCGCCGCCTAATCAGTCTTTTTTCGGATCCCCCCTTCGTGCTCTCCTCCTCCCCTTTTATAGCTTGACCTCTCTCTCGATCTTGACCTAAGTTGGTGCCGGCTAATGGGCCCTCGGTATTGGGCCTTTCCTCGGCTCGTCAAGGTGAATTCCTTTCTCGTACGGACACTACTCGGGTATCAGCGAGTTACGTGTCAATGTCGACGGTTCGTCCCTTATCGGGCTGAGTATGATTTTCTGTGGGCCTTGAGGGGTGGGTACGGCCCACCTCCTACAGTAAGTCCCCCCAGTCTATTGACGATCAGTTGATAAGTTAATAGAATAAGCCAATCGGGTTTGCAGGAAAATATACTTGGGGTAACAACGGGTCGCGGTTGTTGTGGAACTGGCGAGCTGGTAGATAGTTACTCCTTACTTGTAAATGTTTTTCGCGTGTTTACCAATTTTCTCGTCCTTTTGCAGTGAATCATCCGTATTTGACCGGGGTTCGAGGCTCTTTTTACGACAACGCTCGGGCATTGGTTGAACTCGGACACCTTAGGTGGCCCGATATAAGCGAATAACGGATACGTCGTTGGTTGGACCATATAGACGACGGTAAGGCTACGAACTTCACATTATCCTTCCCCCTCCTTCTAGTGCCATACTTAGTGTTCTTACCCATCGATGTGCTTCGTGCAGGTGAGTGGGACTCGAAGCTTCCGTGCAAGGATCGGACTGACAAGAAACGGTCGGTACTCTTCTCGAAGAAGGAACAAAAAGCTATTAACCGAGCGCGGAAGATGAGAGGTGTGCCGGACTTTTGTCTCTCGAAATCGAAGAGGAAGAAGAATCGGGAGCGGGGCTCATGTACGTGCTGAATGCGTTCAATCTTGATGGGTCTAGTCCTGCAAATGTCACTGCTCCTTCCACTGGCGACGTATCTAAGGCGGGGCTGACCAATCCTGTGGAGCCTGAAGACCGTCCCGAAGAAGAAATCGTTCCGGATTCTTCGACCGCCCAAGAGAAAGCGACCTCCGACTCTCCTGCCAAGAAAAAGAGGAGAAGAAAAGAGTCTGGTGAGAAATCTGCTGAAGGGTCAAAGCAGAGGTCGGACGGTGACGATTCTGTTTCGAGACCGAGTAACGAGACCGGTTCTTCTATTGCTAAGGAGCAAACTGTGTCTGACCAACCCGCCAAGAAGAGGAGAAGAAAGAAGAAAGGATCGACTGAGAAATCCATTGAGAAGTCTGCTCGGGAGTCAACTGATGGCGGGCTTGACTCCGAGGCTGGAAATGTCTCCTTTCCTCTGGATGAATTGGAGGGTCATCCCCACGTGGAGGAGACTACGGTCGTAGACCAAGTGGTCGACGAGTCTCTCCCCGGCCTTCCAGTTGATTCGGCGGGTCCTTCGCCTAATTCCCTGTCCAAAGGAGAATCTGGGCAGCGCCTCTAAGCAGCGTCCCTCCTCTGAGTTCCGGCTTTGGGACTCGGTCTACCTCGGTGGATCGTCCGATTACTCGGAAATTCAAGACCGTCTTTCCGGATAAGGTCTCCTTCTCATATGACGAGGCGTCTCCGCTGATCTCCAATGGGCCTAGGTGCGCCGAATTTGTTGGTCAGATCAAAGGGGGTCCTCGCAGCCTGCCGCCTACAGACCAGTTGGTTTTCCCGAATGACTACAAGGATGCCTCTCGAAATGTTCTAACTGTTAGTACCTGTTTTCTGCGGCCTTTGATATTATCTCAGTATACGCGTATGTCGGTTTTTCTTCTAACTATGTCCTCGTATGTTGGTTGATCATTTCAGGCTGAAGGCAGCTTCAACTTTCTCGTTGAGAAGTATGACTCGGAGCTTAAGAGGGCATATGCCGACTCGGCTGAAGCTTCTGAGAAGATCAGAGACGGGAAGAAGCGAATCAAGTCGCTAAAAACCTGTCTGAAGCGGGTCGAGGCTGAGAAGGACGAGGCTACTCGTCGCGCGGAGAACGAGGCGATGCGGGCCGAGGATATCGCGAGTAGGTTCGAGTTCATGAAAGCTGCAGCGGCTAAGGCAGAGGACGAGAAGGCTGATCTGCTAGCGGATAAGGCGCAACTCGAGCGCGAGAAGGTCGAGCTCGCTGAAGCTCACGCCAGGGAAACTGCTCGTTTGAGGGAGTCTCGGGTTTTCGAAGTCACTAAGGAGAGGGCCAGGGTAACCGCCGTGATGTGTGCTACGGCATACGTCCGATTTGAGCGGATCCGTAACCGGGAGAATTCGTTTCCACAGTTTGATGATGCTCGGTGTTGTTATAGTC